TCACCCAAACTTTCAGAAGAAATGCAAAGAGCCGTAACCAGTTTGGCTCAGTGGCTAGTGTCAGCCCACGGGCTGAAAGGTTCTGGTCAAGGACACAGGCATATACCTCAGTTGCAAGCTTGACCCCCAGCTGCAGGTCGGGGCATGGGAGGCAACCAGTCAATGTGTCTCTCTCACATAGATGTCTCTCTCTCTCTCTGTCTCTCCCCTTTCCTTCCACTCTATCTAAAAATCAATGGAAAAAATATTCTTGGGTGAGAATTAAAAGAAAGAAATTTAAAAAGGTTAAAAATGAGGCAGTTTAGCCCTAGCTGGTTTGGCTTGGTGGATAGAGCATCGGCCTGCAGACTGAAGGGTCCCAGGTTCGATTTCAGTCAGGGGAATGTACCTTGGTTGCGGGAACATCCCTAGGAGGGGGCGTGCAGGAGGCAGCTGACCGATGTTTCTAACTCTATCCCTCTCCCTTCCTCTCTGTAAAATTCAATAAAATATATTTTAAAAAATAAGGCAGTTTAGCGGTGGTACAGGTTTCCTGTTCTATGTGAAAGCTGAGTGTTCCTATGAAACCTTTCCTAAGTATAAATGGGGTAAAGAAAAGAAGCAATTACCATTAATTTACCTGGGAAAAATTTTAAGCATTCCCAGATCCCCAAAAATAATGTACTAAACACATAAAACCAAAAATAACATGAACATATAACGAAAGTAGTGCCACGCATGCTGCTCAGGGTGCATGCTGCCTCTATAATGGCTCCCTGCAAAACTGCTGCTGAATGCTATTTTCACCATCCTATATAATAAAAGGCTAATAAGCAAATCAACAGAACGGTGGAACAACTGGTCGTTATAATGTACACTGACCACCAGGGGGGCAGATGCTTAATGTATGAGCTGCCCCCTGGTGATCAGTGCACTCCCACAGGAGGAGCCCCTCTCAGTCAGAAGCCGGGCTCACTGCTGGGGAGTGCAGTGGCGGTGGCAGGAGACTCTCCTGCATCCATGGCAGTGCTAAGGATGTCTGACAGCTTAGGCCCACTCCCCACAGAGCCGTCAGTTAGACATCCCCCTAGGGCTCCCAGATTGCAAGAGGGCACAGGCCAAAGTTCGTGTACCAGGCCTCTAGTTTCTCATAAAAAGACAATCCTTTTTGGATTTCTTCATTAGTGAAAATAAGAACACATAATGTAGATCTTTTTGTAAAAGGGAAGTAGTATATTACGAACTTTCTCTTCATTTATTTTTTCTTGGTCGGTCCAAGATGTTTTGATGAAATACCAAATAAATAATCACTCTGTGGAATACATTTTTGTAGCCACAGAGTGATTATATATATATATATATACACACACACACACACACACACACACACATATATAAAAGCCAAAGCAACTGGCTGAACAGCCAGTAGCTATGATGCGAACTGACCACCAGGGGGCAGATGCCAAACACAGGAGCTGCCGAGCTGCGGTCTCTTGGCAGCGGCAGTTCTCGGGTGACACACCCAGAACCAGAGAGGAGGGAGCCCGATTCCAGGGTACATCACCTGAGAACTGCCCTCTCACAATCCGGGATGTCTTGGGGGATGTCAGAGAGCTGGTTTCAGCCTGATCCCAGCAGGCCAGATTGAGGGACCCCACAGGTGCACGAATTTATGCACCAGGCCTCTAAAAAGTTCATAAGGAGCTTAAATCCTGACAGAAACAAGTCAATTTTTTTTTTTTTTTTTTTAATTCTACAAGAACTGATTGGTGCAACCCTACAGAACCAATATCTATTTAGAGAAATTTGTTTTTCTTTTCAAAAGTAACTAAAAAGCCTCTCTGATTTATTTATATATTAATTTGTTTAATTTTTGAAATCAATAGCCATAGGGTTAGCTTTGTCCTATTTAACTATCAATGTTACACATTTATAAACTAAGCAAACATGGACAGGACAGAGATTTAAGTGAAATCTAAAAGAATAGAATTGCTTTTAGTTCATTGTATTTTCAAAGTTGATGAGCATCAAGCCAGAAGTAAAGTAATTACCACACACCATTTATTTCTTTTAATAGTAAAAAGAATATTTAGATTAGCAAAGTAATCTTATAATGTATCTTCACAGTTGAAATTTAAGTATTCATTTGATACACTTGTATATCAAAGTCCTTTTCCATTATTTAGTCTACTTTAAAAATATATACAGCTAATAATGTTTAAATATTCTGAACCATATGTTCTAATATAAATATTTGAGAAATTCAAACTGTTGCATCAATTTATGAAAGAATTAAAGGAAAAAAATGAGCTACAAATTATATAGGAGGAATAAAAAAGTTTACTTAACACATGTCTGGCTAAATCTGTACTTTCTCATTTATATATACATACCCAGTTGAGTATAGGCAGCCATCAAACATTAACCAGCTACATACAGATTAGACTACTAAGCCTGTACTATTTTCTACGGCAGGTAACAGTGGTGATTTCAAACATATTAATATATCTCAATAGTTTCATCAAAAATTATTTGTAGCAATAGTCTAATATTATGAAATTCTGATAGGCACAGATGAAATCACTGCATTATTTATGCCAAACTTAGCACACTAATGGTACCTGACTCTGCTTACTTATGGTCTAAGTATCTGAACAAAACAGAGCAGACAGATAACCAGAAAGGACATTTAAGACACACCCATGCTTATGAATCACATTAACATTAGTATTAAAAATTTCCAAATCTAAATATAGAGGGACACTTATAAAGCTGTGAGACAACTCTCACATAAGAATACAAATGATAAAACTGCAAAATCTTCAGTTTTTAATCTGATATTAAGGGTTAGTTATTTGGTCTTAACATTTTTTAGAATTAAAGGGTTAAAGTTGAAAACATGTTTATCCCTTACTACATTGCAGCATTTGAAATTAACCAGCTTGACAACTTTAATTCCTTTTGCTTTTACATGCAGTAATATACGTATATATGCATTTAAAGACAGTTGAAAATTGAGTTATCTTTTAGTCTGTAGTGGTGATTAGAATTGCTATCCAATCAGTATTCCATGGCACCACATATCAAAATCTATACAATAATTCCATCATGTCAGCAGAGCTGAATCATCTGGAATGGCTGAGGGCGTTTCCCCAAACCTGAAAAGGATGCATAAATGATTGCTTGCTGTCAGACAGCTGAGGGCATTTCAATCTCTATGTTATAGCCTCCTTCTGGCCAAACATCTGAACAGCCAAGGCAGTTCCTCCAATCCAACAAAACCTAGGTATACTAAACCTTGGCTTTTGATATGTATATCTACCTTGCTTTAGGACAATTTGTGTTAATAAAAAGCAAGGGACCCAGAGAGACAGAAGAACTTGATTCCTTGAGCCTAGTCTTCTCTGGCTCTCCAAAATACCTTCCAAAATTATGTTTCGTCTCTGGACTCTTTATTAATTTACATACAGTGCCTTCTCCAGATTCTTGAACCCCTTCAAGATGCTAGATCAAGACTTCTGGCTTTAAATATGAGTCTTTTTCAGCACTTACCACTGAAAGGAGGCATGGCAAAAAGTAGTTGCATTATTTTTCTTTATAGCAAAAAAGCTTTAAACATCTATACAATTTTACAGTATCTTGTACTCTATCTTAGAACAAAACCTTATTCCAGTCAGCTCAATCTATATAAGTTATAAAATACAAACACATTCTAAACCATATAGTGTACAGAATATGCACTATTTAATATTCATTAAATGCAGTACAATCAAATAAAAAACACACAGCATTCTAAATTTTTAAATCTTTGGGATGCTAACCAGAAATTATACAAATTACATATACAAGACAAAAAAAGAATAAAAAAGGGAAAGAGAAAGAAAAAAAAATCCAAGAAAACTAACTTCTCAGTGCATCACACCTACTGAGATTAAATGTATGGCACTTTTACAATACTAATATTACTACTATCAATTTAAGCTGGAAATGACTCAAAAACATTAAAGCCACATAATGGCAAGAACGAGCCACTTAAATGTTTAAATGAAACAGATCACCTTTTTTCTTTGTAAAAGCAACGAAAATGTAATGGGTGCAGATAACTCAATAAAATTCTTATTTCATTTGTCCCTACCCTATAAGACAATGTAGTACCTTAAATTATTCTGTATTTATTCTAACTGGTATGACAATCTGATTTTTAAGGCTTGAAAACTCTATTACGCTACTGAAACATACTATTTTCTATGTGCTAAGAATATCTTTATGAAAAAAATAACATATCTGGTTATAAATCATAGAATAAACCCCAAAACCAAAAATCTGACCTTTTCCAAGCTAGTGAAAAATAAGTTATACCATGATATATCAATTTAAAATTATACCAATATTAACAAACATTTCTATGGTACATTTTCCCCCCATGAAGATTAAACAGTGCAGAATAGGGCTTGGGCTATAATGAGTCACATTTGGTTTTCTGAAAAACAAAATCTAATTTACTATAAACAATTAAAAGGCAATTTTCTTCCTCCATAACACATGTAGATATTAAATCGAAGGTTTTAAAAATATTCGCTACCTATAAGAAAAGTAATTTTAAATGGCAAAAAGGAATCAAAATACCAAAGTTTAGTGTGCGAAGAATGGATATAAACAAGCAAGAAAAGAGATCACTGGTGCTGAATATTTAACACGGGTAGCCCAAAAGTAAGTCCCAAGGTTTTTATACCTTTACAAATAAAAAAAGGTGTCCTTTCCACAGTTTGGGATATGCATTGTGTATTCCCCCAAACAAGTATATGAGTAAGGTTTTTAAAATGTTGCCAATATTCAGTTCTTCAGTTACCTAAAATTAATTAGAGGACAGCAATATTACAGTGGCAATGGTGCATCAATTCCCAAAACGTAGTTATGATCCAACACGAGTTGTGGTGGTTCTTTTATCTGAGAAAAAGCTTTTCAGAAGAAATACCTGCCCTATGCTAACCACCAGAAGAATTAGGGCTTCTCCTACTGACCAATAGGCCACTCTTGTATTTAAATCCTCTGCTCGGCTTCGGCCTTGAGCTTCTCTCAAGCGGAAATGGGTCTGATAGTCAATGACAGACTTCAGAGCTTCATGAATTGAAACACAGGCAGATTCCATCTAAAGAAAAATATTTCCAGTTAGTATGTTTAATATTTTCTGTACACTCCATCTTTCGTTTTTAATTTCTCATTTCATTAACATTCACAGTTATGTCAGAGGTCCTGGCAATGCAACTCTTTACTCGTTCCCACTAGTACAACTGGTAAAGTTAGAGATTCCATAAAGCAGCTGCTTGCCCCAAACTAAAATGTTACAGCTGTGGCATCTGTAGGGACGGAACACTAAGCTAACAGCAGCAGAAATACTTATCAGTTAAGGTTTGTGGCTATAAAATTTCAAACCCAGATTCCTTAAAAAGGAAAGATTAGGAAGAAGAAATTGAGTGTATCAGTAAATATGACCAATCCTATATAATAAAAGGTTAATGTGCAAATTGACCAAACGGCAGAACGACCGGTCACTATGATCCACACTGACCATCAGGGGGCAGACACTCAACGCAAGAGCTGCCCACAGCCTGCAGGCCCCAATCGCCTGCGGGCCAACCTCTCAGTCCCTTCCCCTAAAAGGCAGGTTCTGATAGCCCATGGGGAACGGGGAGCAGGGGGTGGGTGGTAACAGATGTGGGTGGGACCAGGCCAAGGCCTCCACTCTGCTGGTTGCCCCACACAGAGGGCAACCGGTGTTGGGGGACAGGGATGGCGATCGGGCAGGAACAGCCAACCTCTCAGTTCTTCCCCACGGCCAGCAGACTCCGATCGCCTGATGGCGAATGGGAAACTGGGGGGTGGGTGGCAGCAGGGGGCAGGGCCGGCTGCTGGCAGCCAGGGAAGATGGCCTGATAACAGGCCGGGCCTAGGGACAGTACCCATGCACGAATTCCATGCACCCGGCCTCTAGGAAGAATATACACAAATATAAACCAAGTATGGCATAAAGATAGATTGTTAATCAAAAGTTATTTATCTATTTTAAAAATAGGTGAATCTGAAAATAGGCCAGAATACTTAAAAAAAAAAAAGTTACCAATTTGTTAAATAAGTTTTTCCCTCATACTAATCAACCAAACTAATATAAATGCTCTCAATGGGATACAAGTTTCAGTTTCACCATGTAATCAGTTTGTAAGCCTTCATCTTACTTTTTTTTTTTTTTTTTTTTTTTTTAAAGAACAGTTTGCCCTAGCTGGTTTGGTTCAGTGGATAGAACACCAGCCTGCAGACTGAAGGGTCCCAGGCTTGATTCCAGTCAAGGCCACGTGCCCCCTGCACAATCCCCATTAGGAGTTATGCAGGGGGCAGCTGATCAACGATTCTCTCTTATCACTGGTGTTTCTCTCTTCCCCTCTCCCTTCCTCTCTGAAAACAATAGAAAATATATATATATACTGAAAGTAAATAAATAAAAAAGAAAAAGAACAGTTTATTGACTTTTAGAGAAAGAAGAGCGCAACATCAATGAGAGATCTTAACAATGTTTGGCTGCCTCGTGTTTGTACCCCATCAGGGATCAAGCCCACAATCCAGGCATGTGCCCTGACTGGGAATCGAACCAGAAACCTCTCCATACACTGGATGATGTCCAACCAACTGAGTTGCTCAGTAAATATGACCAATCCTATATAATAAAAGGATAATATGAAAATTGACCAAACAGCAGAATGAACCACCAGGGGGCAGACACTTAATGCAAGAGCTGACCCCAACCCGCAAGCCCCAATAGCCTGCGGGCCAACCCTCAGTCCTTTCCCGGAGAGGGCAGGCTCTGAAAGCCCATGAGGAATGGGAAACCGGGTGACACCTTACCTTTTAAGGGTTAAATGTCTAATTTTTTTTTGTATAACAGAGCTTAATATTTTTTACTCTAAAAGTTAATCCTGGTCATGAAATACATGCTTTATTATACTATACTTATTTTACATCACAAAACAGATATTAAGAATTTTAAAAATCAGAGTTGGTCTTAATTGTAAAAAAGGAATGTAGACATTAGAAAATAAAATATTTTAAAAAGTTCTACCAAAGTATGTATAAAAGGAATAATCATAAAAATATTCCATTAAATATACTTTTAAAAAGTAGAAAATTATATTTGATGAATAAGAATAGATCTAGAGACAAATGGTGGGAGGGGGTGGTTAGAGAGCAACCTAAGGACTTGTAAGAATGCATATTAGCATAACCAATGGACACAGACACTTAGGGTGGTGGGGGCTTGTCCAGGGTGAGAATGGCTGGGGGGTGGGAGTGGGAAGTCAACTGGGAAAAAAGGAGACATACATGAAACTTTAGACAATAAAAATAAAAAAAACACAAAAAAAGTAGAAAATTATGAGATCTACAGATTGAATTTACCTATTAGATATTCAAATATTTTTGCTGTTCTTGTTTTAGTTTGGCCCCTAGGAATGAAAGATTTAGCAAACTGGTGCTAAAATGATTTCTAATTTGTGATAAGAGGCTAGAGAAGTGCTTTAGCATTTATTTGCTTTCTATGTATCCTCAAAATACATGGTCTAATGATTCTTCCCCTGGAAAATATGCATAAAAGCAAAGACTTAACACAAATTCAGAAAGTTTAAAGATTCCTTGAAGCCTGACCATGGGTATGGATTAAGAACACAGCTGTATTAGAGAAAATAGATTAAGTATAATTTTTCAGAAAGTGTTGTTTCCTTTCTTTTCCTTACACTTTTAAAGTGAAAATGTTCATACATATTCAAAAATATAGAGAATAGAACAATGAACCTCTATGTCAATAATTATTAACACATGGCAAATTTTATTCCATCTATATTCCACACCAATTTTCCTCCTTACTCCAATTATTTTAAAACAAACCCAAGGTATTTTATTATTTTAGCTATACTTCATACTTTATATTTATTTCTGAAAAGTAACACTTTAAAAAATATAACCTCAGTAGCATTACCAGTATAATACAAAGTAATTAAAAATAGTTTTTTTATATCAAATTAGATGGCTAGTGCAAGAAATCTGTGCACTGGTGGGGGTCCCTCAGCCTGGCCCCTTGGGAGATATCCGATGAGGGGTCCTTAGTGCTGCTGAGGAGGTGGGAGAGGCTCCTGCCACTGCCTCTGTGCTCACCAGCCATGAGCCTAGTTTCTGGCTGAGCAGTGCTCCCCCTGTGGGAGCGCACTGACCACCAGGGGGCAGCTCCTGCAATGAACGTCTACCCCCTGGTGGTCAATGCGCATCGTTGTGACCAGTCGTTCTGCCAGTCGGTTTATTTGCATATTAGGATTTTATTATAAAGGACATAAAATTAGCATTCAAATTTCCCCAAACACCTCAAAAGTTGTTTACAAGTCAGAGTCCAAACAATGTCAACACAATAATTTGGTACAATAGATAGGTCTGTTAGGTCATCTTTAATCTTTTGGTTCTCTCCCTTTTTTCCTTTCTCATCCATTTATTGAAGAAATTAAGGCCTCAATTCCTGTAGCATTTCCCACTTTCTAAATTTTGGTAATTGTATTTCCATGGTGTTCTTACAGTCTTTGTATTTCTTATAAACTAGTAGTTGGTACTAGAGACTTGATGGGATTCAGGTGTACTGTTCTTAGTGGGAACATAGCATAGGCAATGTTGTGTATTCTGCTACTGTCTATTATCAGAGACACTGTCTAGTTACCTCTCTATTTGTGAAATATCATTAGATTTAGTGATAACAGTCCTATCTACCCATTATAAGGTATCTCATCTGCCTTCCACTTGAGGGTTTTAGCAGTGGTTTTACTGCCTACTCTAGATCCAGCATTTTATTACTGGTTAAAAAATGGTAATTTAGTAAAACTATCTTTTTTTACTTTATTTTATTAATTTGTTATTGTTGTTAATCCTCACCCAAGGATATTTTCCCACTGATTTTCAGAGAGAGCAGGAGAGGGAGAGATAGAAACATCAATGTGAGAGACACATCTACTGGTTGCCTCCCACATGCACCCCGACCAGGACCGGGGATTGAGCTTGCAACCACGGTATGTGCCTTTGACCAGAACTGAACCCAGATCTTACAGTCTGAGTGCCAATGCTCTATCCACTGAGCCAGACCGACTAGGGCTTCTTACACATTCTTAAAAACTGCCTCTATTATCATATAATTTTGCCAAGAAATGTGGGAACAATGAAATACTAGTTTAAGGTTTTAACAAGGAGGTGTTAAATAATTCCTTTGAATACCTAATTAAGTATCTGAGCTCATACTGTATTTGAACTAGAACTAAATTAGCCCTTTCAGCAGCTGAACAGTACCTGTTCACTGACTTTAAATTTATTTTGCTATCTTTTTCTCATTAAGCTATTCTTCAAAATAAAACCCAATTTAGCTTCCTTAACTATTTTTGTTAGATGACTTATTAATCTTTTAATATTTTTCCTTAAGTTACAGCAAAAATTATTGTATCAGTAGCTTGAAGAACATAAATATTGGTAAAAACAAACAAACAAACAAAAAAAAAACCCACCTGTGGTATCTTTATATCAGCGTTTTTCAACCGCTGTTCCGCGGCACACTAGTGTGCCGCGAGATGTTGCCTGGTGTGCCGTAGGTGCAGACAAGACAAGAATTTTATAATTTTTCACTATTTTGTTTACTTAATATTTCATAATAAATTATAAAGTACTTTCTTTGTGTTTATTTGATTCCTATTCAAGAGAATTACTTTATATATAGTCAATATAGGCACAGAGTTAAATTTTTTAACATTTTCTAATGGTGGTGTGCCTCGTGATTTTTTTCATGAAACAAGTGTGCCTTTGCCCAAAAAAGGTTGAAAAACACTGCTTTATATATTAATTAAGGCATCATTTTGCATCTAGTTATATTAATAACTACCGTATTTTTCGGACCATAAGATGCACTTTTTTCCCTCCAGAAGTGGGAGGAAAAAGTCCCTGCGTCTTATGGTCCAAATATAGCCTACACATATACTTTAAAAAAAAAGTTTTTTTACTTGCCCGGCTCTGTGTGGTCTCTGTGTGCTTGCCCGGCTCTAAAATGGTTCTAAATGCTACTGTTTACTTTACAGGGTTGATTACATGTGTTTATGACTGTGATGTTGGGTTTTAATGCACATAAAATATTTTAGGACACTATTTGTTTCAGAATCTTTTTTTCTTCATTTCCCTTCTCTAAAAACTGGTGTGTCTTATGGTCCGGAGCATCTTATGGTCCGAAAAATACGGTACTTAGCAAAGCTATGGTAGCAACATTCCTCCATGAAAATGCTTCAGAATGCTGAAACGCTGTTTAGACTTCCTAAATTTCCTTTGCCACTGATGTTTCTACTTAAATAATCCTCCTATTTTAATACTTATTTTCTTTCCACTGAAAAGTTCATAAAATCCTTTAACACTGGTCTTCACTGAAAATCTGAGGTTCTCTGTGAAATGCCTAATCTACTACAAGAGTTAAGATACGTCTTAATGACTGTGTTAAAAATCAAAATTCTGTGTTTATAGAGTTAATGCACATAAATTGTGTGTTTCACACACCAACACTGTATCATTGGCTTTTCATTTACCTGGGTAAGAGCACTGACTCGGTTCTCACTGGGAAACAAAGGGGGGTCTTCTCCAACTTGAAAATCAAAATATACGGTTTTGTGTGTGAAAGTAGAAAATTCATTGCTGAAGCAAAATTTGTATGTCCCATTCTTGGAGGCTGTGAAAGTAAAACTGTCATATTGCTTCTTCATCTCCTTATATAACACATTTCCATCAGGATCTTCTAATCGACAATCTACATCATAGTGACCACCAGTAATCACCTATAGAGAGAGAAAAAAAATTAGAGATTACTGCAATTAGCAAGTTTTAGAAATAACCAGACTTCTCATTAAAATGGCAATAAAGTTATAGGCTTTTACTATCACAGACAATTTTACATTTTTTTTTATTTCTACCAGTGGATGGAACTGGGGAAGGCAGATTTCAGTTCAACTAAAGGTTTATAAAAACTGAAAAAATTTCCTCATGATTGGAGAGAAGGAACTAGCTAATTAGCCAGACAACTATTCTAGTTAATGTAGATCTCTTATATCATTTAATTCGCTCAAACAAACCTACCAGAGGTTTTTTCACCTTTCCATCTAACAAACTGAGATGAGTTAAGATGAAACTTGAGCTCCAAAGTCATACTCTTTACCCTTAAGCTTAGTGTCATGTAATATTTTTCTTCTGCAAATTTTCTTATGTAGTCTCCTATTGGTATCATCCAAGCACACCCATGGATAGAGGAGTGAAATAGTAACGTAGGTCAGTCCTTAGCATAACACCCCATCATAGAACTCAAACAAATTTTATTGCCAAATTACAAATAGGTTGTGTTAAATTATTTTACAAGTCAGTTACATAGAATTTTGATACATATTTTGTTTTAAACTAAAATGCAAATTGAATAGACTTACCGGCTGTTCTAAGAGTATTATCATCATTTATAAACTTGTTTCCAAGAGAAAAAGAAATGATTAATGATTAAAGCAAAAACAAAACAGAACAACATAAAAACAAAAAGTCCTTTTATCTGGAAAGTTTGTATTTAAGGGCAAGTACATTGAAAGGAAAGCTGGGAATAGATAACATGTTTCTGAAGAGGATTTTGGAGCTATTTTCAAATGCTTATGCTTAATCAGTCACAATTTGGGCAACTTCATTTTCCAAGTGAAGAGAAGAGGGGGAGATTTTTCCTGAAGTAACTGGACAATCACCAGAGAAGAGGGGGAAAGGATTAAAGAGAAGACAGACCTCCTTATATGAGAAAGAACAGAGTGGGAAGAGGGAGGAGACAGGAGAAGAAAATAGGGTGCACGTATACACTTGCGTAGGAATTCATGAGGAAGAGACAATGGGTTTGAGGTTTCCCAAACAACACAAGACTGAGTGACCCAGCCTGTATTTTCCAGCTTGAACACTTTGGTTAGCATATTATTAACATTCTAGATCGGCAGAACAGAGATCAAACTTTGAACTTCAAAGAAGAATGGGTTACTTATATGACCTCTTGTAACTATACTATGTTACAAGATCATTTTGATAATTAAATGAAACTATGCACTTAGGAAACTGTAAAGATATGTAAGACTAATATTAGAGACATAATGTTTTGACATAAAAACAGTATGTTATCATTTTATCCATCTCCTCAAAAGTCAACAACTTTTCTTCTGGATAAGGAGGAGGGGAAGAAATATGATATAATTTTATACCCTAATTCATATTGACTGTTGCACTTTAAATAAACAAATAAGTACATACATAACAAACTGAATAGGACCAGAATTTATAATAACGCCATTTTTCTTCCAACAAATTTTCGAACAAGTATTCTCATTTCAGATAATAGTAACCCTTTAACTTGTCTAGTCATATAAGATAGAAACTGGAAATCATCTCATATTAAGTGGCCCTACCAGTCCAGTTAAATCAAAGGAATCTCTTGATGTTTTTGCCTTTCTCAAATTCATCCCATTTTTTCCATTCCTAATCCACAATCCAGACAGGACTACTGCCACAATTTACTGAAAGTTCTTCCCACAGCCCAATCTCTCATCCCTCTAAGCAAGTGTTTCTCAGCTTTGTGGCAAGGTAATTCTTTGTTGGGGGGACTGTGCTGCCTTGTGCAGATGCCAATAGCCTCCCCTTCCCCAATGTCTCCTGGAGGTGGGGCAACCTCCCGATCTTCTCCATTCCCCATTTGCTTAAAACCTTTTGATAATTACATTTCCTTTCAGAAATCCCCTTTTGATTTCCTCTCAGAAAAATCCAAACCTGTTAACAGGACCCAAAATGACAATACTTACAAATCTGGTTTTTTATAGGAAAAGAAAACATCACAGAAACAGATCAAGGAGAAGTTAGGTTTTGGATTCTTTGTCTTCCTTGTGAGGGGTGTGGCTACACATATACTAATACTCTCTCCCCCAGATCAGGTACCACCAAGTGTGCAAGGAACACCTTGGAACTAGCCCAAAAGAGTGTTGGCTACGTATTTTATTCCTTGCTGGTCACATAAGGTAAGCCTCTGGGTAGTCTCAAAGAGACCAGGTGCAAATCATCAATCTCACTATTATCAATTTAAAAAATGCCAACAAACTAGTACAAATTATCCCCAAAGCCGTTGGGTCCACAGTTACAAATCAACACTATCACTTGGTGTATTTCAGGCCTGCTGGAATTTAGTCTTACAAACGTAACACATCTACCTAGGGTGTCACTTTTCGTCCTGCGGACTTGTAACTCCTATTTATCCTCCTAGACTCAGACCAAACATCAGCCCCTCAGCTAAATTTCCAAGGATCCTTCCTCCTTCAGTCAGCACCAAAGTTATGCCACCCCGAATGTGTCTTCTGGAACATTAATTTTTAAGCTGATTAAGAAACAAAAGACTCAAAAAGACTGTTACCTCCCCTTTTCCTACGCAGGGTTTGGCCCCTGCTGACCCCCATCCCCACCCCTTTTCTAAAGAGATTCACTTAAAAAACCTGCTTCAGAAGGGGAACCTCATATTCACTTTATCACGTAAGGCAGGAAAAAATTTAGCAAAGCCTGTTTGTTCCCTAACCCTCTCCCCATTGTTCCTGGTTTGCCCAGCAGGAATTTGTCTGCCACATCTTCTGCTCTTTCTGGGTTACCTGTGAATTGTCTATTTCCCCTCTGAAATCCCAGGCCCTGCCCACACCTTCTGCTTTGTCCAACATGACAGATAAGCCTCAACTGCCCACTGGGTTTCGAGTCTCATATGTGGTACCCCTGCATATACATCCGTAATAAACTTTGTACATTTTCTCCTGTTAATTTGTTTCTATTAATTTGATTATAAGTCCAGCTAAAACTTTGAAGGCGGGAGAAAAGTTATTTTTTTAAGGCCCCATGATAGCTACAGTGTACTTTCACTGTTGCATTTAACATTAAATGACTGTACATGTCTATATAAGCTCCTAGGTCAAAGTAAGTCTTGAGTTTAACCTGGAACTGCATACTGATTCTGCTACTTGCTACGTTTATGTCCTTGTGTTTTAACCTATGGAAGCATCAGTTTCTTCATCAAAAAAGGAATACAAAATATTCCTATTTCATATCGAGCTGCCTGAGAGTTAATATACCTAAAATGCTTGGCATATTGTCTGCCACGTAACAGGTGCTGTTTGTAGTACTCTGTGGTTTGGCCCCTGCTGACCCCCCTCCTCTCTGCCCCCCATTTCTGGCTTCTGATTCCCAAATATATAGGACTTCTCCAAGGTTTTCAAATTATCGGTTACACAGGGTCCTTGCAAAACCTATTTCCTCTTCCCCCTTATTTAAGTATGTACAACTCATTCTTTACAACTCAGCTTAAAATTACTTCCTAAAGGAGGCCTTCATTGATCCCAAAGACCAGAGTGTATCCCGCAATTTCTGCTCTTAAAGCAGTTTTGATGAATGAGCAGGTACTAAGTAAGAAAAGAAGGGTAGGATAAGCGGGGAATCAGGAACGAAGAAACACCCTTCGGTGTTCTGATCACAGCACCTAGCACCGAACAGCTGCTCAAAGACGTGAAATAAGTCTACCAAAAGGAATAGAAACAAGAGTAAGGATTGTCCTAACCAACTTAAACTACATTCTACCAAATAAAGCTGCTGCTGCTGCTGCTGCTTTTTTTTTTTTTTTAACTATACTTCCACAGACAGAAGGGGCCTCTCATTTATTGCAGCAATTCTTTTTACACCACCTTGATGGTCATCTGGCCTAGAACGATGCTCTTCCAAAGAGAGAGATGCGTTAATCAACAGTTCCACTAACAATGAAAATAACTTAAAAGCAATGGGGCTAGGTACTGGCAGCATCTCACATCTGATTAAAGCAGAGATGGGATTAGAGAGTGGGGAGTGATGATCACAGGAATGAATTTTTTTTTTTTTTTAAGTACAGTCTTTAAAAAAAGAAAGCCCAATGGCCTTCAAATAAAGAACATTAGAGAAGGGGGGAGGAATCACAGCTACGGAAAGCATTTCTGAAACTCATATATCTTAATATCTACCTAGTCTTAAATGTCTGTCGTCCACGTTTAGAAGAGGGAAACCAAAAGCCCAGCCTATCAGCTACCTAGAGCGGATTCCTGACTCAGCCCCGGAGTGAAGAAACGAGGTCAGGAGGGGAGCACCCGCAGATCGCTCCCGCTCCCGGCGCCGAGGGCGGGGGCCCCGGCCGAGCCCCAGTACCTGGAACTCCAGGGTGCACTTGGTGCCTTGCGTGATGTCCTCGTAGAAACACTGCTTGGCGTTGTCGGGCAGCTCGAAGGTGATCTCGGAGGCGCCGCCGGGTCCCGGAACGAGCAGCAGCAGCAGCAGCAGCACGAGCAGCCGGCAGCCCCAACGGCCCGCGGCGGCCGCCCAGCGGGGCGCAGAACCCGGCCGCGGCATCCCGAGGCGGTGGCGGCGGCCTGAACACAGCGGCGGAGGCGCGGAGACGAGTCTGCGCGGACTCACCGCGCCGCAGGCCTGAGCCCGAGTCGCTCCGAGCCTCGGTGAGATGGGGGATGAGGAGCCAGCCGCGATGGAGCAAGCGGGGGTGCGGCGCCAAAAGCCACCTGGGAAGCAGATAGTAAAAGCCGCAGGAAGCCGGCGGAGAGGCCTGAGGTGGCCGGAAGTGGGGAGCCAGCGCTGGGGAAGGGGCGGGGCCTGAGGCACCTGCCCCAGCGACCCGGATGTACTTTCCTCGGACTGAGGGGAGAGACGTGGAAATGTATACGTGGAAGCTCGCGAGGCCTCCACCGCAGATTGGGACGAGGGGCGGGGCCAGCGTGGCGAGCGGGCGGGCGGGCGGGGCCCGCGTAGGGAGCGGGTGGGCGGGGTTAGAAGAAGGGGTGTGGCCGGCGGCCTGTGGTCGGGCGTTCTGCCTACGGAGCGAGCTCCCGCCGGGAGAGGAAGCTGCATGGACTGGTGATGTGAGAGCTGAGAGCTCCCAGGGAGTGATCATGAGCTTATGTTTACCCTAGGCCCACCTGGTAAAGCGCTTAGCTATTTGCAGAGATCTTTCTCTTAAATAATGACAAATATGGGGGAAAGCAGTTTGCGAGGAGCGTGAATTCCGGGACCGCCTATTGAGTATTATTCATTATCATCAGGCACTGTCCTCAGCACGTCACATTCACTGCCTGTTTTACTGAGGAGGAAGTTTGTCTTGGAGTACTTAAAAAACAATAGAGGGTGATATTAATAGTAGCCAACAGGTGTTGATTTCACAAATTATACATGTTCTCGTGTTTATAAACACGAATTAGGTATTATGCCTTTTAAAAAAATAAATGATCGTGGGGAGGCTCATGCGCTGTAAGATGATCTCAGCAGAGAAGTAAAAAGAGGCAAGTGGGTAGGAGCCAGGCACGGAAGTGAGGGGGGCAGTGAGGAGGTGGGGTACAGAGGTGGGGAAGAAGGGGTGTTCCTGGGCAGCGAGAGGTACAACTTCTATGGCAAGATGGAGGAGCTCCAAGGAGGTGAAATTTGCAGGAGATCGCATCTTCCTGAAAACTGGGCTGAAAAGAAGCATTATTTCTTCTGGGAATGGGAAGAAGACAATTTCAAAGTCGAAATTGTGGGCTCTACTTTCCAACTCTTGACTTCGGGCAAGTAACATTGTTCTTCTAAACCTCAATTTCTTTATACATAAAATGGCACTATAAACAAAGATTAAAAGTGAATTAGATTAAAATCACAATGCAATACATTACATACCACCAGATAGGCAAAAATTTCAAAGTGTGACACTACCACATATTGGCGAGCATGTAAAGCAACAAGACCCCTCATACACTGCTTGTGGAAGTGAAAACTGGTACAACTGCATTGGAATACAATGTGGCATTGTCTAATGAAATATAATTTTAAAATTTGAAATTAAATAAAATTTGATTTTAAAAATTCTGGGATCAAAAATTTGAGAACAGCTACCTCAAAGAAACTTATGTACAGGTACACTACAATACATATACAGAAATATTTAAAGCTTAATAAGAGTCCCAATCTGGAAATACCTTAAATATCCATTAATTTGAGTATATTGTGTTTTATGTTTTTTTCTGTATGTTAGTTATATTTCACAATAAGAGAAAAGAAAAAATAGGATGGAGGGAAAAGGAGTCCTAATATATGGTGACAGGAGAAGATCTGACTTTGGATGGTGGGCACATGGTGCAATATTCAGATGTTGTAACATAGAAACCCACACCTGAAAGCTGTATGATCATGTTGACCAATGTCGCCCTAATAAACTTTAAAAAATAAAATGGCAATTAAAAAGGTAATACGTAGATGTTAAGTTTGAAGAACCGCATATTAAAAGCTAAAAATAACCCAACTCTTATGTATTTTATGATTAAGTATATAAGTGAATTTTTTTCACTTATACTGTCCTGAAAAAAAAAAAAGAGGAAAAATTACTATGTTGGATGCATCAGTTAGCTATTATTTTTTGGGGGGGTGGGGGGGAAACACTTCAAAACTTGTGGCTTGCACAATATATATTCCTGTCTGGAAGACTGTAGGTCAGCTGGTGCATGTGCTTTCAGATGGGCTCACTCATCATCTGTGGTCGGGTGGAGGTTGGGTGGACAGCTTTGCTGATCTTGGCTGGGCATACCCATATTTTGGTGGAATAGCTGCTTATAGGCTGGTCTAGAATGGCCTTGGCTAGGACAACTGGACTCTCCTCCATGTAGTCCATGTTGTAGCCTTTCATCCTCCAATAGACTAGCCCAGGATTGTGCACTCGATAGTTATAGGATTCCACAAGAAGGTGCAAGGCTTCTTGAGACCTAGGCTCAGAACTGGGCCCTGTCACTTCTGCCTCATTCTGTAACCCAAAACAAATTACAAGGCCAACCCATTTTCAAGGGACAAGGAAGAGCCACAAAGTCAGGGCTCCATTAGGAAAGCAGAGAATGAAATATATATATATATATCCCTAATATGCAAATAGATTGAAAGGTGGAACAACTGAACAACCAAACAACCAATTGCCATATTATTCGCTGATCATCAGGGGGAGCATGTAGAGCATGGCGGGTGTTGACAGAAGGCGAGGCACCAGTTGCTATCATCAGAGCGAGTCTCTGGTGGTTACTGAAAATTCTTTGCTCCTGTGCTCCATAGTCCTGCCCAGGACTTGCACCTGCTGCCAGTGCCCAGTGCTGGTCCCAATCACTCCTGAGGGCTTCTTCACTTCCTCCTACCCCTGAGGGGCAATCAGGGCAGCAGTTGCAGCTCACACCTGCTGCTGGCACTGGCCTCAATGGCTCCGTGACATCAGTGGGTGTGAGGGAGGCCAGTGATGTCAGAGTGTGGGTGGCAGCAGGAGTGGGGCTGTATGTCGGCAGACAGGGGACCAGGGGCCACAGAGGGAGGGGCCAGGTGGGGGCACGGAGGATGGGCCAAGACTTGTCCCAGAGCCCACTGCAGCCTCTCGCCCCACAGTTCCTTTCAAGATGCACAAATTTGTGCTCTGGGCCCCAATATATCCTATATAATAAAGAGATAGTATGCAAATTGTCCATCATTCCAAAACACAAAGATGGCCGCCTCCATGTGGTCAAAGATGGCTGCCCCTATGTGGACACAATATTGCCTCTACAAGATGGCCAGCAGGGGAGGTCAATTATGGGCAATCAGGCCAGCAGGGGAGGGCAGTTAGGGGTGACCAGGTTGGCAAGGAAGGGCAGTTGGGGGTGACCGGTCTGGCAGGGGAGGATAGTTAGGGGCGACCAGGCAAGCAGGGGAGCAATTAGGTGTCAACCAGGCTGGCAGGGGAATGATTAGGGGATGATCAGGCTGGCAGGCAGAAGCTGTTAGGGGCAATCATGCAGGCAGGCAGGTGAGCAGTTAGGAGCTAGCATTCCTGGATTATGAGAGGGATGTCCCAGATTAGCGAGGATGCAGACTGGGCTGAAGGAAAACTGTCCGTCACCCCCCCCCCCCGTCACCCCCCCCCCATGCACGAATTTCATGCAATGGGCCTCTAGTGTATGTGTATACATACACACACACACACACACACACACACACACACACATATATATACATATATACATACATACATACATACATACATATATATATATATATATATATATATAGCAAGGAGTCGACTATGGAATTTGACATTTCTAACTGGGGTAATTGGTTAAATAGTGTACGGGAGGCTGTTACTTCTTCATCTGGTGCCAGAGCCGGAAGTCTGCACGTAAAGCAGTCAGAAAGGGAAGATGGATGTGAAGTGGAAGAGAAACTGGACCTTCAAGGATCCGCCATAACCCACATCATTTTTTAAAAATATATATATTTTATTGATTTTTTTACAGAGAGGAAGAGAGAGGGATAGAGAGAAACATTGATGAGAGAGAAGCATAGATCAGCTGCCTCTTGTACACCCCCTGCTGCGGATGTGCCCACAACCAAGGTACATGCCCTTGACCGGAATCGAACTTTCAGTCCACAGGCCGACGCTCTACCCACTGAGCCAAACCGGTTTTGGCCACACATCACTTTTTTACCACCTCCAATTCTCCCACTTCCATGATGGTTGTGGGAGAATTGGAGGTGCTCTTCATCGAGTTAACATGCACCTGGCCCAGAGCCATTCCTTTCTTAGAATACAGAAAGGAATATTGCAGCTGCTTCATCACTTCTGTCTTTCAAAATGTCTCCTGTGGACCACTAACCCCCAACTATGCAGGGAATGGAATTCAAGGGAAGAATAGTTCCAGCTGAGCTAAGTTAATATAGTACAAATGCACCACAGACACTTTGAAGAAGCAAGAGATGAGGGGGAAGGGAAGAATTTTGTTCATTTTTGCAATCAATCTAGCCCACTGAATAAAAACAGAAAATGAATAAAATTAGATTCTTGCCCTTGGACAGTTCATAGTCTAGAAAATAGAAATTTAACTTTGTTCCAAATTTTTAGTTTATCTTTTTCTCATTTCCCAGGATTATTATAAGAACCAGAAAGTATATAATATGAAAAAGCTTCATAAAATACACAAGATGATATGATCTTTATCTCAGATACACATTCTTGTAGGGACTACAAAATGGTACAAGAAAACACACACACACACACACACACACACACACACACACACCATGATTTGTTCAGCTTACAGTGAAAACACAGCAATGGAAATTTTGATCTAAATATAGGCTTTGTGCCTTGGTCATCTCATACCCTTTCCTAATGTAGGTAGTGTCATATAGGCTTGGGAAAAGTGCCTAACTTTCTGGTACCAAGTTTCTTCACCCATAAAAAAGAGGTAATAATGCTATTTTGTAGGTGGCTGAGAGAACTGAATGAGGTGAGAGAATATCCATACAGCACACAGCATATAGCACACATCATAGTGCATTAAATGAAGTAGAGGCTCTATATATAATTCTCCTTTGAAAAGCTACAATGAAAAAACTTTCTTATAACCCATACTTTCTGGAGTATAAGACGACTTTTGAAATGAAAAAAAGTCAACCGAAAATCGGGGGCAAAAGACCAAAATTGCACAAAAATTACCTGCAGATCTTGACGGCAAAGTCAGTCTTTTCTTTGAAGTGGGGGGTAGTCTTATACAGCGAATATAGGCCTAAACCTATGTTTTAACTGTAAAATTAAGGGGTCGTCTTATATGCTAGAAAATATGGTACTCCTATACCAGTACTGTATATGGGTCTATGCTT